CGAGCTCCGTGGCAGCCAGCACGACGCGCCCACGAGGCGCTCCCACGGGCGGGCACTGGAGGAGGAGGGGGAGGAGGAGAGGAAGGAGGAGGAGGAGAGGAGGAGGAGGAGGAGGAGGAGAGATAGGGGAGGGGGAGGGGGAGGAGGGAGAGGAGGAGGAGGGAGGAGGAGGAGGGAGGAGGGGAGGAGGAGGAGGAGGAGGAGGAGGAGGCTTCTTGAGGCCGCTGGAGTGCTTCCAGGAGGCTCCTGTGGGCCTGCTGGCGGTCCTGGAAGCCCTCTCGGGGGGGCCCTCTTGGGCCGTCTTGGGGCTGTTCCCGGGGGCCTTGGGGGCCGTCTTGGGGCGATCCTGGGGGCCGTTGAGGCTGTTTTCGGTGGTCGGAAGCCCAGCCAGGCGAACCAATGATTTGGCGTCCTGGGGCCTTCTTGGGCAGACCTCGGGGCATCTTGGGCCGTTTCGAGGCCGTCTTTGGCTGTCTTGAAGCGCTCTGGGCCGTCTCGGGGCCCTTGGAGCTCCCGTGGGGCACTCCTGGGGCTGTCGTGGGGATCCGGAAGCCCGCGCCCAGGAGTTCGGCATCTCTGACCCGGACTGCCCGGGGCGCTTTGCCTCTTGGGGACCCCCAGGGACCGCCCCGCACACGCAAAGTATGTTTCTGGAGATTACAGCAAGTTTGTTGGCCTCGTGGGCCGGCGAACTTCTGTTGATGCTGTGAGGCTATCGGTTCCCATGTGTTGGCGAGTCCCAGCCTGCGTCATGGGGAGGGAGGGAAAGGAAGGTGAGCGGAGCGAGGGGGAAAGGGACATCGTCGATCACAATACCCAGCGCCACGCTTCGTTGCAAGCTGTAGTGCCGATCGTGGCCTCAAGGCGCATTTGGTTTCTCGCAGGAGTCACCGTCGGAGGCCGTTGGTACCCACAGGTGCCGCCAGGTCCGAACTCCAAGCAGATCTGCCCGTATGCTGGACGCAGCCTCCAGCGAACACCGACACCGACGCCAGCACGAGAGACATCGCCCGCGAGCCCGCAGTGACCCTCCCCCCGCCCTGCGATCCTCTTCGGGGGGGGGATTAGCTCAGGGGTGCACCGCCACCCGATCGCCCACTTACTCGGCATCGCTCGGACGTGCGCACTTTTTTCTCGGCGAGGACCATCGAGGAGCATCCTTGATCATGTGGCGAACAAAGCCACGCACGAAACCGGAAAACGCACAGGGAATGGACGTCCGAGCGATGCCCAGCTCACCGCCGATGGGGACCTGCTGGCCCACCCCCCGCCCGGGAGCGTGCGGCCTCGCCATCGGCGGCCTCCTCGCCGATCCGTGGGCGATGCGTCGCCGCGATGCCAGCGCGACGCCTCTCCCCAGAGCGCGTCCCCCCCCCTCGACGTTTTGTCGGCCCTGTCCCCCTACAGGAGGATTTTCGACGAAAACTAAAAAATACCCCAACAAAAATAAAAATGGTTCAAAAGTAGTCTGGGGACTACTTTTAAACATTTGTTGACCTTTGGGGGGATATGTTTTTTTTGTTTTGTTTGACATGTTTGGGGATTTGTTTTTTGTAATTTTCATTTTTCGTCGAAAATCCCTCTGTAGGGGGACACGCCCGACGCAACCCTGACGCGGACCCCCGTGCGGGGCGACCCGGGGACGCCCCTCCTCCTCCTCCTCCTCCTCCTCCTCCTCCTCCTCCTCCTCCTCCTCCTCTCCTCCCCCCCTCCTCCTCCTCCTCCCCTCCTCCTCCTCCCCTCCTCCTATCTCCTCTCTCCTCCTCCCCTCCCTCCTCCTCCTCCTCCTCCCTTCACCTCCTTTCCTCCTCCCCTACCTCCTCCCCTCCTCCTCCTCCTCCTCCTCCTCCTGCCTCCTCCTGCTCCTCCTACTGCTCCCCCCCCCTTCTTCCTCTCCTCCCCTCCTCCTCCTCCTCTCTCCTCCTCCTAAACCTCCTGCTCCTCCTGCTCTGCCGGAGGACCTCGCCGGCGGGCCCCTGGCCCTCCCTGGGACCAGCCCTTTCCCCCGGACTGGCTTCTCATGCTGTGCCGTTTCTTGACGGTCCTGGTGCCGGGCGGGAAACCTTGGAGGCCACAAGCGGGGTTGACGGTACCCCGTGATGCCCCCGTTCGCGAAGGCCTCAAGCGGGGAAATCCCGAAAATAAGGTAATCCTCCAGCAGGGATCGTGTTTTTTGTGTTTGACGTCTTTTTGGAGCAGTTCCCAAGTATGCTTCCAAAGCTTCTCTATGATCCGCGGAAAATGTGTTTTGACTGTTTAAACATTTCTTTCAAAAGTCGCATGTAGGAGAACATGCCCGACATAAGGGTGCAGCCTCCCATCGTGTCTTTTCGGCGGCGCGCACAAGGGGGTGGAGGGAGGGGGGAGGGCTTCTTAGAAGGAGGCTGCTTCTTAGAAGGCGCCGGCCTTACATCTATAGATAAGGCCCGCGCCTTCTAAGAAGCAGGGGTGCGTCTAAGAACCTCCCCCCTCCCCCCACCCCCCTCCGCGCGTGGCTGATTTTTGTTCACGACACATCTGGTCTTCGGGCCATCGCACGAGTCCCTTGCGGCCGAAACATCGGGACGGTCCCGGCACCCCCAGAGCCCCCCTCTCGACGCGCGAGAAAAGGCTTCATAGGCCTACTTCCAAGGGCTCCCTCGAGGGCGCGAAGTTATTCGCGCTTCGCGCTTCGCGGTCCTCGTTCCTTCCCCCCCTCCTCCTCGTCCTCCTATTCTCCCTTTGGGGGGGCGGCGCGAGAGCACGAAGTTATTCGCGCTTCGCGGAGCGCGAAGCGCGAAGTTGGGAGCCCTAGTGTAGGAGAGGGAGGACCTTTTGGACCTCTTGACCAAGCACGGAGGCGTGCGCGAGAGAGAGAGAGAAGGGGAGGAAGAGCGAAACTCAGGAGGGAAAGAAACACACAGACACAATTAATCGTCGACTCCCAGGAAAATATGCAAAAATATGGGAAGTGGTGGGGAAGACAAAAATCCAGAAAATATGGGAAAATATTGGGGATATTTTTATGTGTGTGTATTTATTTGTGTGTTCCAGTTCCCCTTCAGAAACGACCGCCCGAGCCAGGGAGTCCACCTGCCGCGACAGGCAAGCACCCCGGCCTGCGCCAGCCAGCCTACGACCCTCCAGACGGAGGGAGGTGCTCTGACCCCGCAGAGGACGCGGCCGCATCACCCGTCTCGGCGGGCAGAACGGGCCCCGCCAAGAAGTCGCGCTCATCAAGGGCGCGTTGCAGGGCCGCTGGTAGAGGAGGAGGAGGAGGAGGAGGAGGAGGAGGAGGAGGAGGAGGACCTTCTCGTCCTCCCTTCTCCCCCGTCCTGCACGCGGGCGCGTGGGCTGCGCCCCTCGCGCCCTCCAGCCTTAAGTCGAATAAATACCCAAAAATTGCCCCAACAACTGATCAAAAAATACCCCCCCCCAAAAAAAAACAGTACCAAACAAATAGTCGACGAAAAATAAAACATACCCAAAACAGAATCAAAAAATAGTCCAAAACTAGTCTGGGGCCTATTTTCTGAGTATGTTTTGACCTTTCTGGGGCATTGTTGGGGTATCTTTTATTGTTCGTCGAAATCCCCATGTAGGGGGACACGCCCGACTTAACTCTAGCCTCGCCCTCGGGCCCTCGGCCCACCCCCATCCCCAATCCTGATGAGCCTGTTTTCCACCCCCACCACCAGAAGTTGGAGGGGGGGAGGAGGAGGAGGAGGAGGAGGAGGAGGAGGGCAGGGAGGGGAAGGAGGACGAAGAGGAGGAGGACGAGGAAGAGCAGGAGGAGGAGGAGGAGGAAGGAGGGAGGAGAAGGGAGGGAGGAGAAGGAGGACGAAGAGGAGGAGGACGAGGAGGAGGAGGATGAGGAGGACCCCCCCCCTCCACCTACTGGTGGTGGTGGTGGAAAGCACGCCCATCACCTCCCCCTTCCTCCGTACAGTCGGCCCGGATTAGTAGGTCGACCCTGCCAAATCAAGGGCACCATTGGTGTCCTGTATCTCTCGCGACCCATGCCTCTCACATCCCTGTGGCACCGTGGCCCTCGGCAGGGTCTTGTGTCCCCCCGCGTGTCCTGTCCAATCAGGCCCGACTGCACCTCTTAAACAGGGCTAGGATCGGCATAAATCGCTCCAGAGCGTTCTGGAGCGCTCTCAGAGCGTTCCGGAACGCTCTGGAGCGGCCGCGGCGCCCAATACATCCTCCAAACCCGCCGATTCTCAGAGATTTCGAGTTATCCCGATCCGATTTTGCCCCGATCTTCGCGTCGTTTTAACCTCGCCCTGCTCCTGCTCATCCTCCTGCTGCCCCTCCCAGGTGCCCCCTCCCTGCGCCGCGCCCACGCCGCTCCTGCTCCGGCCACGGAGGAGGGGGGCACCTCTGGGGGGCGCGCGCGCCCCTCCCTGAGATCCGACGCTGCGAAGCAAGCGCAACATCGTGGAAAACCGCGACCGGAGCCCCAGACCCTATCTTTCTGCGTCATCCTTCGAGCCGCAGCGTGTCCTGTGCAATCAGGCCCGACTGTACCTCGCCCTGCTCCTGCTCCTCCTCCCGCTGCTCCTCCCACGTGCCCCCCCTCCCTGCGCCGCGCCCACGCCGCTCCTCCTCCAGCCACGGAGGGGGAGGAGGAGGAGGAGGAGGAGGAGGAGGAGGAGGAAGGCAAGGGCGGATGAGTGGGCTGAGGAGGGAAGGAGGAGGAGGAGGTAGGAGGAGGAGGAGGAGTAGGAGGAGGGGGGAGGATGAGGTGGAAGGGGGGGAGGTGGAGGGGGGGAGGAGGAGGAGAGGAGGAGGAGGAGGATGAAGAGGAGGAGGAGAGGAGGAGGAGAGTAGGAGGAGGGAGGAGGAGGCGGAGGAGGAGGAGGAGGAGGAGGCGGAGGAGGAGGAGGAGGAGGAGGAGGAAAAGGAGGAGGAGGAGGAGGAGGAGTAGGCGGAGGCGGAGGAGGAGAGGGAGGGGGAGGCGATCCGAGAGATCCGACGTTGCGAAACAAGTGCAACATCGTGGAAAACCGCGGCCGGAGCCCCAGGCCCTATCTTTCTGCGTCATCCTTCGAGCCGCAGCGACCTGTGAGGGCCCGTGGGGCCCGACATTGGGGGAAAACGCCCGGCACGAGCAGGATGGAGTCGCCAGGATGTCAGGGCTCTTCTTGCGAGCCCGCGCCAGCCCGCTCCCTCCCCAGACCCCCGACGTCGTGATTTTGTGCTGAATGTCGACCCCCAGAGGTCTGGACCTTTTCCCCGGGACCGGTTTCTCCTCCTGAGTCGTTCTTGTTGACGCTCCCGAGGCCTGGGAAGCGCCCTAGGAGGCCGAAAATAGCTAAAGAGAAATCCCGTCATGATTTTGTCATAACCCTGAGATCCGACGTGGCAACAAATTACAACATCGCAACAAATCACGACCGGAGCCCCAGACCCGATCTTCCTGCACCATGTTTCGAGCCGGCCTGATCCGTGAGGGTCCTGGGGCCCGCAAGGAGGCGAGCACGCCCGCTGTGAAAAAATTGCAGCGCCAGTATCTCAGGGAACCCAGAGATCCGACGTCGTGATTTTCTCAGTGCGGGGTCCCCGGAAGTCTCGACCCATTCCCCAGGACCGGTTGGTCATCCGGAGTCGTTTTTTGACGGTCCCAAGACCCGGCAAGGGCCCCGAGGGGCCGAAAATTGTGAAGAACCTCCGTCGTGATTCAGCCACGCGCAGAGTGGGGTGGGGGGAGGGGGGAGGGCTTCTTAGAAGCGCCCCTGCTTCTTAGAAGGCGCGGGCCTTCTCTGTAGATGTAAGGGCCGGCGCCTTCTAAGCAGCAGCCCTCCTTCTAAGAAGCCCCCCCCTCCCCCCGCCCCCCTGTGCGCGCCGCCAACTGATTTGTTCAAGACGTTGGACCTCCATGCGGGGTCCCCAGAAGTCTCGACCCCCCCAGGACCGGTTGGTCATCCGGAGTCGTTGCTTGACGGCCCCAAGTCCCTACAGGGGCCGAAACTTGTGAAGAACCTCCGCCGTGATTTTTCCAAGACCTTGGATCTCCAAGGGCTCCCTCGAGGGCGCGAAGTTATTCGCGCTTCGCGGTCCTCGTTCCTTCTCCTCCTCCTCCTCGTCCTCCTATTCTCCCCCTTGGGGGGCGGCGCGAGAGCGCGAAGTTATTCGCGCTTCGCGCAGCGCGAAGCGCGAACTTTGGAGCCCTTGGATCTCTGGGGGGAGCGTGGGGGTCTGGGGCCCGCCCCCTCCGCCCGCCATGCGGCGCCGCGGCCGCCCCGCGGCCTGCGCCGCCTGGCCGCTGCTCGCCCTCGCGTGCGCGGTGCGGCCCGGGCCCCTCGCGCGCGCCCTCTGCGGCACGCGGGCCGCCGCGCGGGCGGCGGCGGCCACCGCAGGGGCCGGGGCGCCTCTGCGCAGCGGGGCGCGGTGCGGTGGCCACGATCACCGAGCGCCCAGCCTCATGATGTTCCAACCTATTTTATTAGCCTCGATCACCCGAAAGAATTTCGAGCGCACCCCAAAACTCGAGGGTGTTCACGTGTCGGGCCCTGGGGGACGCTCGTCCGACACTGTTTCGACACTCTTTCGACACTTTCCGGGTGCTCGAAATTATTTCTGGGCCGTGGTCTTTAAGTAGGATGGGAACAACATAAGCCCAGAGTCGAAGAAGAAGAAGAAGAAAAACATAGAAAAATAGCGAAACACCTCCTGCCCTCGCTTTTTCACAGCGCGACGGGGTCTGTAGAGGGAGAAGCAAACACGTAAACATAAACTTGTGGCGCTCCGCGCGGATTTCTCGGATCCGCGCCTGGGCCCCCCGGCGGCGCCGCCGGCGGCGCCCCTGGCGCGCTCCGCACGCCTGGGGGGTGGTCCAGCGCAGATCCAAGAAATCCGCGCGGAGCGCCAACAAAAATATGTTTACGCGTTTGTTCCTCCTTCTGCAGACCCCGTCGCGTTGTGAAAAAGCGAGGGCAGGAGGTCTTTCGCCATTTTCGGCCCCTGGGGGCCCCCGCAGGGCCTGGGGAGTTTCAAGCAACGACTCCGGAGTAGAAACCGGTCCCAGGGAAGGTGTCGAGACCTCTGGGGGTCGACGTTCTAAAAAAAACACGATGTCGGGGGAAAAATGCAACGAAAAATGCACGCGCGAAACCCCCCCAAAAATGCAGGGGGAATGGACGCCCGAGCGATGGCAAGTAGGGAGCATCCGCCGCAGATTCAAGCTAGACCTCCCCATCCCTGGGGGGCCGCGAAGTGTGAAACCGCTGCGACTGCCGAGGGCTGCTGTCGACGCCGGGCGCGAGGGCGCGGACGACCTGGACCGTCTGCGGCTGCGTCTCTACGTGATAATCCAGGCGTTCCCTAGGCGTTCCCTATGGATTTGCCAGGGATCGAGTGGGTTCCCAAGGCGTTCCCTAGGCGTTCCCCAAGGATCTGCGACTCGGTTCCCTAAGCGTTCCCTAAGCGTTCCCCAAGGATCTGCCAGTGATATACTCGGTGCCCTAGGCGTTCCCTACGCGTTCCCTTTGGAACTGCCAGGGATCGAATCGGTTCACTGTGCATTCCCTAGGGATCTGCCAGGGGTCGACTCGTATCCCCAAGCGTTCCCTTGGCGTCCCCTCGGGATCTGCCAGTGATGTACTCTTATCCCTAAGCGCCCCTAGGCGTTCCCTAGGGATCGGCCGGGGATCGCGAAAGGCCAGGAAGGCCGACAGATTCTGGATGATACGAGACTTGAAGCTGGAGTTCCTTTCCCGCGGGCCGCTTCGCCCTCTTGTCGGTGTTCTGTAAGTCCCGCAATGCGTGCGCCTAGCCATATAGCTTCCGCGACAGTTGACGTCGCTGCGCCATGACAGATCCGCAAGGGTTTTGCCCCGTGTTGCCGGCCCCCTCCTTCGGAAAATGGGGCATGTAAGAGTTACGTTGTGAGGGTTAGGCGCCGTGGCGAAGCAGCGTCGGAATTCCGACAGGGGGCCACTGGAAATATGAGCGTGCCAAAATCCATCAAACAACGAAGGAGCATCGCAGATGCTGGCCTCTTGGGCCCCTCTTGGGGGTGCTCTTGGAACGCTTTGGTGGGGCCTCTTGAAAGCATATTGTGCTGTCTCGGAGGCCTCCTGTACCGTCTTGGAGGTTTTTGAATGAGCGCCGTGGCTTCGAAAGCGCGAGTACTGCATACGCGTCTACGGTGTACGACTTCGGGGGCGCGAAGAACGCATACATTACAAGGGATCGTGGCTTCGGGGGCGCAGACATCGATGGTATTTCTACAAGGGAATGTTGTTTCGGAGACGCGAGTGTGGTGTGAAACGAATTCTGGTGTCGGGAGCGCAAACACAGCGTGATGTTGTAGGGGTGGTTTTCGGCCTCGGTGGCGCGAGTACTGAACAAGTTACCAGAGATTTAAAACCAGTATGGCGTCGGGGGGTGCGCATATGTAGCAGTCGCACGTGTCCCAGGACCCCCCAAAAAATTGAAAATCCGCCCAAGTGAAGGTAATTCGGGCCCTTTTTCGGCTGCTCCCCCCCTCGCGCGGATTTCATCGATTCACACGAGCAAGAAGCAGCAAACAGGATTGTAATAGTGGAGACCCGAAATTCGAACTGGCTCCGGGAGCAGCAGGCCGAACCCTATCCACGCGAGGAAAAAGCAGAAAGCAGGATTATGGGAGACTGGAAATCCCAACTGGTTCCGGGAGCAGCCAGCCCCCGTGGAGCCCGGTGGCCCCACAAATGGGCCGGCGGAGTCTGGCCAGCAGTTTTTCCCAGTTGTTGTGGATGGGTTGGGTACGTCGCGGATACATTTCTTTCTTATAAGGACATTAAAGGAGGAGGGGAAGGAGAAGGAGGAAGAGGAAGACGACGACGACGACGACGACGACGACGACGACGACGACGACGACGACGACGACGACGAACGCCTCGCTGCACAGACCTCCCGACCCCACCGTCGTGCGGCGCCGGCCCACGGATTGCCGCTGGGAGGGCTCCGGACCCCGCGGCCGCGCTGAAGGAGAGGATAGCTCGGGAGGGCTGCCCGGGGTAGGGCCCCTCGAAGGGGGGGGCGGTCCCGAGGATTCGGAGGTTTCCAGAGGGGGGGGAGGCCCTCGCCCCTGATATCTTCGCGTTGCTTGAATTTTTTTTTCAAAAGCGACAGATTGTTGGGGCAAAGCTCTGGCCTCGGGGGGACCTCGCCAGGCCCCAGGACCGTCCAGCAAAAAATGCCCGGGACGAACGAGCCCGGTGCGCCCAGTGACCCCGCAGTGACAGAGATCGGGGCGTCGGATGTGTGGACTGCTGCCAGGGGTGGCCCTGGGCCAAGGTGCTCCCAGCTTTTCTGCGCGGGCCACGTGGCCTCCAGAGCACCATTTGCGAAAGCCGGAGGGCCCGGGGGAGTCCAGAAGGTGGGCCGAGCACACCGTCGGCCAAGCGCCCGCCTCCCCCCGGAGTTATGCCCCGCAGAATGCGGATCCGACGGTTCGCAGAAGGGTGGGGCACAGTCCAAGGCAGTGCCACGGGCGCGAGCCCAGCCAGCTGATGTTTCGTCCTCTCGGGGCGCCATCCGACTCGCGGGTCTCCCCCTCCTCCTCCTCCTCCTCCTCCTCCTCCTCTCTCCTCCTCCTCCTCCTCCTCCTCCTCCTCCTTCTCCTCCTCCTCCTACCCCCTTCCTCCCCGCCCTCCCTCCTCTCTCCCTCCTCCTCCTCCTCCTCCTCCTACTCCTCCTCCTCCTCCTCCTCCTCCTCCCCCTCCCCCTCCCCCTCCCCCCCCCTCCCCCTGCTCCTCTCCTCCTCCTCCTCCTCCTCCTCCTCCTCCTCCTCCTCCTCCTCCTCCTCCTCCTCCTCCTCCTGGGGCCCGAAGTGTGGCGAAGACGCCCGGCGTGGAAAACATCGGTGACGATGACCATGACGATGACAGCCGATGGCACTGCATCGCCCAGATCTCCGGGGACTCGCCCTCATCTTGTGGGGGGGGGCCCTCCCCTGGGACGCGCCCTCCAGACAGCGGCCATGGCCTCCAAGCTGGACCGCGGGTCGCCGTGGGCGGGAAACAGATCCGCGCCTTGGCCGCGCGCAAAGGAGGGGAAGGGGGAGGGGGGAAGGCTCCCTAGAGAAGGAGGCTGCTTCTTAGGAGACGTCGGCCTTACATGTCTAGACAAGGCCCGCTTGGAGAAGCAGGGGTACCTCCAAGGAGCCTTCCCCCCTCCCCCTGCCCCCCCTGCGCGCGAGGCCGAGGGTCCTCGTAGGCGGGGCCCGGGCCGCGACCCCGATGGTTGCGGAGCGTTACGATGTCCCGACCTATTGTAGCCTTGACCGCCAGAAGCACCGAAAAACTAAGGTTTTCACGTGTCGGGCCCTGGGAGACATTCGTCCGACACTGACACTCGTCCGACACTGTTTCGACATGTTATGTTACACTCTTTCGACGCTTTTCCGGGTGCTCGAAATTATGTCTGGGATGTGGTCTTTCAGTTCGGGGGCGGCAAAGAGGGGGGTGATGACTAGGGGGGGATATCATGGCGGGGGCCATGATATCTCCACAGATTTTTCCTGGCGCCTCTTCTTATTCCATTACGTCCCTGGCCCCCCCGCTGGGCTGCGCACATGCCGCCGGTCATGATTTGCATCCCCCCTCCCTCTGGGACACCCCCTTCTTAGCCGCTCCCGATGGGTGCGGAAAGGATGGGGACGAGTCTGCAGTTGTCGGACGGACGTTGTCATCCGAGATGGATGAGCCTCCTACCCTGCCACGTCGATGGACATGCCGCTGGTCATGATTTGCACCCCCCCCCTCTTGCAGTACGATGGAAGCAACCTACGCGCAGCGCTCCGTCCGCGGGCGGCCCTCGGGGGAGACGGCTCCGTGCGACAGCGCACCCGCGGGGTCGCGCCTGGGGAGCCCAGGCCGCGAGGGCGTGGACGCGAACGCGACTCCACCTCCTCCTCCCCCTCCTCCCCCTCCTCCTCCTCCTCCTCCTCCTTGATGGGAATGTTTCTAGCAACGCCTGCTAAACCCAGATGGCTATGGTACGCTCGCGAATCAGCTCACCCCATTTGGGGTAGAAGCCCTAAGACAGAATCAGTACACAGTGCTATACACAAGGATCTTCGAACACTCCTCCTCGCGGGAGGTTCTGCTGACCTGAACCGAGTGCGCTACTATACCTACACCTTCACTAAATGCTTTGCTGTCGCCGCCCGGCCGCTCAGAAAATAGTGGCTCGACATCTTCATAAACTTTGTGAGGGAATCTCCGTTGACAGGTTTCGTGCACATATCTGCGATGTTGTTCTTTGTCCCTACCTGTTGCACATCGATCTCACTTCGCGCCACCCTTTCCTGGACCCACAAGTAGCGGGTCTGCACATGCCTCAGCTTCCCCTGCCCTCGCCGGGCGCAGGTGCCACGTGCAGCACTACTGTCTGTGAGCACCGTCACATTTGCATTATAACCCCAATCGGCTAGCAGCGCTTGAACTTGCAAACCAATTGAAGCAGCTTTGACGATTCCGTAGAACTCGCTCTCACCACTCGAGAGAGCGATGGTGCTCTAGAGTCCAGACGATGCCTTCACACAGTGTTTGCCCATGAGCACGGCTGTGCCCGTGGTGCTTCTTCGTGTGACAAGACACCCTGCGTGATCTGAGTCTGAATAGACAGTGATGTCCTTGTACATCTTTTGTGGTTCAAAGCGCAGAACTACCCGGGGTCTGCCCACCAGGTAACGACCTAGACGTTTCAAGTCTGCGAAGTCAGCTTCGGTCGGTCCAATCATCTTTCGAGCAAGTGACTTGACGCACTCGCACAAGTCCGCCCTGTCCTGTGCTAGATAGGACGCCCTCATGACCAAAGACCTGTAGAACCTCTGTCGCTCTTCATCCACCTTCGGCAGCGACAGTGCCGCCGACACGGCGCTAGCCGTTTTCTTCTCGGCTGGCGTTGTCACGGCTTTCGCCTTCTCTAATCCCAGTGCTTTGATGATCAGCTCAGCGTGGCGCTGGTCTGCCTCGTACTCAACCACGCCGTTCTCCTTGTTGTACCTGATCGTTCTGTTCAGCACACACATCTCTGTGCCGTCGCTGGCCTCTGGGCCAACACACCCTTCTAGTCTAAGATCGTACCGTGCACGGAGTAGTGTTTCTACTTTCTGCTGCCCGTCTTCGTCAGCTAAAACGACAAAGTCGTCACCATGCACCAGGATCCTTATGTCCTCTGTTGCATGATAAAACACCGCCGTGCTAGCACGTCCTCGTTTAAAGCCGTTCTGTTCGAGGAGGCTGGTGTAGTCATCCTGCCAGATGGCCGACGCGTCTTGCGTGCCATACATCGAGCGCTGCAACAGCGCACAATATCCTTCCTGTTGGTCTCCCTCCGGGAGAGACACGTAAACCTCCCGTTTGGCAACACCATAGAAATGGGCACGGGATATGTCGAACAGCTTCAGCTTCAGATGCTTCCTCCGCCCTTTGCTCACCTTCAGTGTGGTCAGCATAGAGCACAGCATCTTCAGTGATTCAAGCGGGGGCATCGAACTAAACAACTCGTGGTCCGGCAGTGCTCTCTTTCCGTTCTTTCTGATCTCTCGAACCACGAGCCTGCTACGATACTTTTCGTTAGTGTCGTCGCCTTTGTTCGTGTCCACCCACTTCAGGGATATCGGGCCTTTGCCCGTTCGGTCCCAACACTGCTTGATGGGGACCTTGACGTAGACCTTTTGTTTTCTGATCCACTCTAATTCGGTCTCTCTGGCTTCTTTCACCTTATCGGGTTTCAGCTCTGCCCCGGTGACATCGTCGAAGTATACACCAGGTTCTTCCTCTATCTCTGCCCCTTATTCTGGCACAGGTCCGGCTCCAACAACCTGCCCGAAGGAACATATCTCACCCTTCTCCTCTGAAGCGTGCAACATCGAAGTGAGGATGGCGACCTGGATTGCCCAGGGCTTCCGGCCGCTCTCTACGAGCCGACCGTCGACTTCAACGACGCGCCTGTGCCAAGTTACACCCATTCTTCTCTCGGATTCTTGCCGGATGAACTCGGCAAGGTGTTGAAAATTAGTGACCCAAACAGTGCTCTTTCGCATGTAGGTACCTTCGCTCTGGCTCTGAACGGTCCAACGACACTTCGGCCCTACAGTCTGTATGCCGTCGAGTCTTGCGAACTCCTGCTCTGCCCAGCCGGGCATGCCAACGGGTCTCTCTAGAAGGTAATATTTTCTTTTGTTTTGTCGTTCAATGCACAAATCAACAATTACCTTCATCGCGCGTCTCGCGCGTTCCTCGCTGCAGGCACCTTTTCCGTTCACCACTCCGCTGAAAATTTCAAGCGGTGGCCTCAATACCAAGACGTATGGGTCTTCATCGTTCAGTGCTGCCTGAAGTTGGATCACGTGTCCCTGATCCGACAGATCCCACACTTTGGTCGCATGTCCCTTCTGGAGAACATCGCACACGGCAGCGTCGAGCGCGAAACCTGGCCTTAGACCAAATATGCCTGATTGAACGTCGTTCCCGTTCACCGACGCGGAGGGAGGATTCACGATGCTTGCAGCATCGAACCTGCCATGTCCCAAAGTACTCAGGACATCACACATACTCGAAACATCAGCACTGCTGACCGCAATGCTCGCTATGTGGCACGCCTCGGCCACTGCCTCCGCCAAGCTGCACAAGCAGCCAGCCTGCCCCATCTCGACATCGCGATGGGACTCGTTCCTGCCTGGCCCTGCTGATCCTGAAGAACCCCCTTCTTGCGCGGGATTGTGTCGTAGCGCAACAACCCCGGGCGAAACACCTGGAGCCGTTGCCTCGCCCGCCGCGTTTGCCGCGTCTACGGCCATTGGCGCTTCTGGCGCCCCTCCTTCCTGTTCTCCTCCTTCTCGTCCTCTTTTCCTTCCTCCTAGGCCTCCTTCTTCTACGGCCTTGGGCGCTCCTGCTGCCTCTTCGGCCGCCACTTCCCCTTCTAGGGGATTTGGCCTGTCTTCTACCACTGGTTCGGAGGCCTCTTCGGGACTCCTCCTCCTTTTCGCCTCTTCAACGCGCTGTCTACCTGCAGCTGTCTTCATCAGCTCTTCCTGAATCCGTGCTCGACACATGATCGAGTGAGCCTGTTGGTGCATTCCTGTCATCAGAGACGTGCACCCTTTGCAACCCGGCCAAATGCCGTGCTTGTCAATATCTGCACGCTTAACGTACAGAGCTTTGGCCACATCTCTCAGTGCCACAGGGGCCGGTGGAGCTTCGACTGCAGGTGCCGCTACGGCTGGCACCTCCACAGGCATGGGTGCCGCCATGACCTCGCGTTCTTTAGGCCGCGGGTTCCATGGCAGACCTCTCAGCTTCGACAACACCGTGTTGTCCCACCGGTCAGGTTCAGGCTTCCTGTGGATACTGGTGCCCTTCACGACGCCTTCTTCAATCATGACCATGACATCAGCATTCCTGCCGTGCGTGCCGACGTAATTGCCGACACAGACCTTCGACTCGAAATCGTGCTTGCGATTCGTAGTCTTAACCGGTCTGAAAAACAGACGCTCTCCAAAGAGCACCAGGGGACGTCGCCACTTCTTCCCAGTGGCTCGTTCGTAGGGGGTCTTCCCGTCCTCTCCTACGCGGAATCGAGACATCAGGAACGCTGCGTGTCTCGGAATCCAGGCAAGCAAAGGATCTGTGTCCTTCAACTTCAGCTTTAGTTTCTCCTCGGTGCTGCTCTTCAGGGCACGTATTGTGCGCTTCAACTCACGCACCATGGCCTCGATCTCACCGTTCGCTCGGTGGTCGCCCGTCGGAGCCTCCTGCATGACGACTTCGACGTCTGCCAGCTGCTCCCGGGTCTTGGTCTTCAGGGCCAGTATGGCTGGTTCATCATCCGACTTTAGGATGATTCGCCTGTACCCTGTCTCGCGGATTGTTTCCGCCAGGAATTTGATCGCGAAAGGGTCCTCACCCTTCCTCTCGATCACCGTGCACCAAGGACGTTTGGTTTTCTTGTCCTTGATTGCCAACATAGGCATCGTTTCCTCACCAGCCTGCCCCATAAACATGTAATCCAACATGATAGTAGGCACAGCGTTTTCCGGCTCCTCGGGAGCTGGATGGTGAGGATTGTCTACTGCACGAGAAGACACGCAATGATGACACCAGTTTCGGTGCACCACGTGTCCGGCAGCCTCGTGCTCCTCTCTTTCCCTTTCGGTTGGCGCCTCCGGCCCTTTAGGCACGTCAGCGCTCCTCTGTTCTTCCCCTGCTTCATCCTTCTCCTCTTCCGGCCTTACCTCCTGGAGTGCCGGTCGTTTCCCGACGCCAGGCTTGTTGGCCCAACGCTGTCTTCTAGTGGGTTGAGAGGCTCATCCTGTTCTGACTTTGGTGGTGCTTCCAAGTAGTAGTCGAAAACAAAAACACCCTTCTTTATATAAATTGGTACAAGCTCCTCCTCACAATACCTCCTTCTAAGCTTCTCAAAATGTTGCCGCATTTCGATTGCAAAGTTACTTTTCCGAGGGATTGCGTAACCGCCGTCGCTGCCTAACCACACGTCGCTGTGCTCACACATCTTTACGCCAGAGACAAGAACTTTGTGAACATCGGCAACGCGACCCTCCAAGGAACACGGATTGAGGTTCGCATCCGTGCCGTACACCTTCCTACCGCCCTCGTCACTGATCTCCTCGGCGCTTGCTGTCTTGTATTTTCTGACGGTCGGGTCGCTTTTGGGATAGCTTGTCGCAAAATCTTTCGGGAAAGCCGTGATGGCCGCCCCCGTGTCGAAGTTCATCTCGTGACGCTCCATCTTCACACCGTTGCAGTACAGAGTCTCCCCCTTCCACTCGTGCTTCTTTGTAGCTCCCGGAACAAGGTGGCACAGACTCTGTTCTTCTTCCTCCTCCTCCTCCTCCTTCTGCTTCCACTTCCCCAACGATGACGACGCCGAAGGAGAAGACGACAATGAAGGGAGGTGAGGATGATGATGAAGATGATGGCTTTTGCTTTGGCCTTCTCGCCAAGGCGCCCCTGCAAGAGTGCTAACCTTTACGGCGGCCTCCGCCGTCTCCCACGCGTCTTGCCTCCGGCGGCGCTTGGCGTCCAGCTTGTCCAGGAACTGGTTCCTGTGACTCTCGTCGTGGATCAACCTGCAGCGGTCTCCCCACTTGCACCTGCCCCGTTCGAAGTGCTCGCAGAACACTTTGCCTTTGTCGCACTGGTCGTGCGAGAACGGGCAGTTCTCGCGAGAGCACTTGCCGCTGAACATCTTCGTGTAGCAGGGCTTGGCAGCAGTTGCCTTCGCAAGCTGCTTCCTGTTGTGCGTCTCCCGCGCCTGCGGTCCTGTCCTCCGAAAAGCAGAGGGCAGCTCAGCGCCGCTGCGCTGTCGGTCCAGCTTCTCCTTCGCCTTCTGGTAGAGGGCCTTCTCGGCCTCGTTCGGGTCCTCCTGCCGGAAGGACTGCAGCTCCTGCCGGGAGAGCGGCCTGTAGAGCTTGACGTCCTCTTTCTTCAGCACGACGTCCGACTTGTCCACCTTGCGGCCGGCAGCGCTTGCCTCCGTCAGGTCGCCGCCGTACACGCGCAGGTTCCCGTCGACGGCCGTGGCAACGACCTCGCCGTCCATGCCGTCCAGCACCTGATCGGTCGTCAGGTACTCCTCCTCCTTGACCGCCTTGGAGTCGAAGTCCTCGTGCCACTTGCCCTCGAGCCGCTTCCGCTCGGCCGCGCGCTCCGGCACGCCCTTCTTCCTGTGCTCGGCAGCACGCCTGCGCTTCTTCTCGTGGTACCACGCCTGGTGGTGCGGCACGCCCTTCTCGCAAGCCTTGCGGTACCTGACGTCGTGGTGGCTCTGATCCAGCTTCGGATCCGTCGAGCTCTCTGGCTGGTCGCGGCGCCGCTGGCGCCGCTGGTCGTCGTCAGCTTTCGCCATGGCCTTCATCGAGTCGCGCTTCCGCTCGATCTCGGCCTTCTCCAGCAAGAGCTCCTGGAGCGTGGCCTCGTCCTCGGCCATCTCCATCTCCGCGCTGATCGCACGAAGCCTGTCCGAATACGCACTGCGGAGAGAAAACTCCACGTCTCGGTGCATCCGGACCGAACTCGCTGCGGAGATGCTTCTCTGCAGCCCTGCGGTGGCACCGTCGCCTGGCTTCTGCCCCACTTCCTGCCGACCCACATCAGGCGAAGCACCTGGTGCGGGTTCCTCGGGGTCGCCAGCGCGGCACACCTCAAGCGGGCTCAGGGAGAGGTAGCTCTGGTCAGCTGCCTCCTCTTCGGGTTCCTCCTCTTCGAGGGACCGGACGGGCTTGCCGCCCTTGGGGCCTCTTCCGCCCTTGCCTCTGCCGTCGCCCTTGGGACCCTTCGGCCCAGCTTTGGGCTGGCCTGTCCCGTCGGGCTTGTGCGCGCCTCCGCCAGGGCGCCAGCAGTCCTTCTTCTTGTGGCCTGGCCTCTTGCAGTTGTCGCAGGTGCCCTGGAAGCTCGTCTGGGCGGGCTTCCGGTCGCCCCAGGGCCTGTCGTCCTTGCCCTTGCCTTTGGGGACTTTGCCTCCTTTCGGCGCGCCTTTTGGCCTGCCCCGGACAAAGCTTCCGACATCCATGTCGTCTGGGTTCCTGCCGCCGCTGTGGTCAACCACCTTCAGCCTCGTCCCTGTGCGGGCTTCGAGGTAGGTCCCGATCCCCTCCATGGCTTTGGCGAACGTATCGAAACGATCGCTGTTGAGAAGCATGTGTTTTTCGAGCTCTTTCGGCACCAAGCCCTCTAAAGCAGAGATTTTGATGTCATCTGGGATGGAACTCCTGTCGCCGTTCCTATCCTTTCGTCGCTCGTACATGCGGACGCTGTCGGTCCACTTCTCAATAGCCCCGTACAGCTCATCCAACGTCACCCGGGACGGATTGAGGATGTGCTTCAGTAGGGTCTTCTTCCTGCCGCCAGTGGAGGGGTCGTAGCGCCTGTTCAAGCGCCTCCAGGCTTCAAGCCCGTTGCCTCGACCACAGTTGCTCACTATGTCGAACGGCTCCTTTTCGCACAGCTGCTGCAGAACCATGTACACCTGGGCCTCCTTGTTCCGAAGGTCCGGAACAAACTCGGGATCCTGTCGGTCCCCGTAAGCCACGGTGACGTCGGCTTCGTCGATCTGTCCCGCGTGCTCTTCGGCCCACTCCAACACAGGCTCTAAGTCAGGGAACGTGCTGGTGATGAAGTTCTCGACTTTCACCTTCCAGGGTAGAAACTTTTCTTCCGTTCCATCGAAGCCAACAGGTCGTCCTATTCCCTTGGTGTCCACAAGCTGGACCCTGTCCCTGTTCTTCAGGTTCTGGAGAAGCTCTGCCTGCTGAGCCGCCAACTGGCCCAGTGACTGCTGCTGAACTTGGATCAGCTGGTTCTCAAGCGCCCGCTCTCGCGCCTGCGAGTCCTGGCGGTGCTGCTGGAACTGGCCGTTCAGATCCTGCAGTTGCTGCTGTAACTGTTGCACCGCTTGCTCCATGGCTGGCGATGCTAGCGATTGGGCTCAACGCACGCTCCGCAATACCATGATGGGAATGTTTCTAGCAACGCCTGCTAAACCCAGATGGCTATGGTACGCTCGCGAATCAGCTCACCCCATTTGGGGTAGAAGCCCTAAGACAGAATCAGTACACAGTGCTATACACAAGGATCTTCGAACACTCCTCCTCTCCTCCTCCTCCTCCTACCTCCTCCTCCTCCTCCTCCTCTCCTCCTCCTCCTCCTCCTCCTCCTCCTCCCCCCCTCCTCAAATCTCCTCCTTTCCTCCTCCCTGGTTACCTTCCTCCTCCTCCCCTCATCCTCTCTCATCATCATCATCATTCATCATCATCATATCTCTTTCTCTTTAGTTTCCTCCCATTTCTCCTCCTCCTCCTCCTCATCCTCCTCCCTCCTCCTCCCCCTCCTCCTCCTCCTCCTCCTCCTCTTCCTCCTCCTCTTCCTCCTCCTCCTCCTCCTCCTCCTCCGCCTCCTCCTCCTCCTCGTGTGCGCCGCTCGCGAGGTCGGCCATGAGCCCCGACCAGCGGCGCTCGATGCGGGAGCTGGTGCTGGAGCTGGCGGGGCGGAACCCCACGCCGGAGCCGGCGCGGGCACTGACGGGCCTGTCTTCCACCGCTGCCACCATAAGTTGGAGGGGGAGGAGGAGGAGAAGGAGGAGGAGGAGGAGGAGGAGGAGGAGGAGGCGGGGGGCGTGAGCGATGCAAATCGCCGCTAAGATTACTCAGAGGATGTGGGATGATGTGGAAATGCTGACGTGGGGATATCTGGCCGAGCCCAGCTGATGGGTGGGGGCGGGGGGCATGAACGATTTGTCAGGGGTGGACAGAACCCCCAACAGTGACACGTCGATTAGTGAATTGTCCGTTTTCGGTTCTCGAGAGGGCGCCGGGGCCGTCATGTTCCAGGCCTGCGCCCGCCAGGTTTGGGCCTCAGGTTGTGTTCACTAAACCACGTTTTACTAAAGGGGGGTCTGTCCATCCCCGAACCATAAGTTGGAGGGGGAGGGGGTCCTCCTCCTCCTCCAGTTCCTTCCCCCCTCCAACTTCTGGCGGTGGCGGTGGAAAACAACCCCATCAGGCATGGGGCGACCCCGCGCCCGCGGGCGAGGCAAGCAGCACGCTGAGGCTGGCCAGCCGCAAGCCCAGCCCCCTGCAGAATTGTAGCAGTCGCGAAGCGTTCTTCCCAGAAATGTTCTAAAAACCAGCTTGCGAACCCACTAAGGAGTGCTTCTAGGCCTCCTACACGGGGTCGGAGGATCGCGCCGCATCGCCCGATGCATCGCCGATGCGGCTCGATGTTGTGCCCGAGTTTCTCCACGTCGACGTCGCCGATGCACCGCCGACGTGGCCGATGCATCAGCGATGCATCGCCGATGTATCGGCGATGCGGCGCTATCCTCCGACCCCATCTACTCTGACCCCATCTAGGAGGCCTCTAGGGTTCTAGGAACTGTTCGTGGTGTGCACGAAGTGGTCTCAGACCATGTCTGGTCGAGACAGTCTGTGTTAGGAACGAAGTTGCTGCTGTCCCACAGGTATGTTCAGAACGTTTCGTGGAAAGCATGTGGGAATATCAGGACAGCCGATCCCTGCTCAAAAAATCCCCCTCGACCCTACTGCGGCCCAAGTGGCACCCACGACGCCGTAAGAGCGACCGACCAGCAACCCAACAGACCCCTTTTATGAGGAACATCAATAGACAAACAACGTTCTGCATTAGATTCGCCAGCGTGTACAAAAGCAGTAAAAGGTTGCATGTTTGATGTCCAAGCGAATGTGCTCAGGGTATGTGGTGTACGCTATGTGGTGCACTGTACGTAGTGTAAGCTATGTGGTGCGAGCTGGGTCGTGTACAATGGTGCAAGCTACGTGGTGCAAGCTACGAGGTGCAAGCCACGCGGTGAAGGCTGCGCGGTGCAATCGATGTGGTGCCAGCTGTGTGGTGCACGCTGTGTGGCGCAAGCTGTGCTGTGCTGCGCAAGCTGTGCTGGCTGTGCTGTGCGCGAAGTGCTTCGCGCTTCGCGGTTCGGCTCCGATGCCTCCTCGTCTTCCTCTTCTCCCCTGGGAGGCGGCGCGAGGGCGCGAAGCTATTCGCACTTCGCGCAGCGCGCAGCGCGAAGCGCGAAGCTGGGAGCCCTGGGGGCGCCCACCAACCGGTTGCCTGGGACACGCAACCAACTACGGTGGAGACCCATGCCAAGAAACACCCTGCTCGCCTCCAGGGTGCCCTGGGTTGTCCCGGGTTTCGACGGTTTCTGCGATGGGAAGACATGGCGTTCCCACATCAAAAATCAGTTGACGTCCCGGGGTCTCAGGGCTGGGTTTCTTGTGGAAGGTTTCTTGTGGATTGGCCTCCGCTGCACCGGAAGCCCATGAGCAACGGGCCCCTGGGGGGCGAGAAATGGGGGGGGGGGGGGGGGGGCAGCGAGGCCTGCGAAAGGGGCCACTTCGGGCCCCAAAGAGAGGGCACCGTTTTCTTCCTCTCCTCGCACTTCCCGCCCCTCCACCCAGTTCGCGCCCAAGGACCCCTGAGTGCAGGCGGCGTCTGGGGACAAGCGGCCTCGGCCCTGCGGAGGCCCCCGCCCTCCCGGGGCCCCACGAGCCCTCCCTGCGGCGGCCCGCGGGGACCACAAGGCCTCGCCCCGGGGAGTGCCACAACGGGGCCCCGCCCCCGCCGCCCGAGGGCTTCAGCTCGTCCACGGCCCTAAAGGCGTCCGCCGGTGTGAAGGCTTCCTCCTCGGACACGCGCGGAGCCGGGGCATAGCGGGAAGGGGGAAGGCTTCCTCCTCCTCCTCCTCCTCCTCCTCCTCCTCCTCCTGCCTCCTCCTCTTCCTCCTCCTCCTCCTCCTCCTCCTCCTCCTCCTCCTCCTCCTCCTCCCCCTCCTGTTTCTTGCAAGGCGCCGGCCTTGTCGGCAGATGCAAGGCCGGCGCCCTCCGAGAAGCAGCCACTCTCCAAGAAGTGTGCCCCCCCACCCGCTGCCCACCGCTGCGCGCCTCGTGCTCGCGGTGCTGGTCCCGGGGGGCCCTGGCAGGGGCCCACGGGCCGAAACCGGGGAAAAACGTCCGGACTGAAAGAATCAGATCGTCGGAGGCCTGCCAAAAAAAACAACAGAAAACACACACAAAACACACAAAACACACACCCACACAAAACAACAACAGCAGCAACAACAACAACAACAGCCACAACAACAACAACAACAACAACAACAACAACAACAACAAGAACTATAATAAGAACAATAACAACAACAACAACAACAACAGCAACAACAAGAACAAGAACAAGAACAAGAACAACAACAACAACAACAACAACAATCATTTTACCCGAACGCGTGGTGTTCTCCCCAGTGCCAGGGTTTTCATACGACACCAGGCAATACCCCCACTTCGTGGGGGGGGCATTACAAGCTCTACCAAATATCCAAACGACTCTTCGCGACCACCCAAACCCAGCTTCCCGCCCTATGACGTTGGGACACTTCACTTCGTGGCGTGCGGACGACCGTGGCTACTACACTGGCGTGGGTACACACCCACAGAACCCAATGGTTTTTGGAGATTTCGGCGTGCGCGCGCGAAGAAAAAACGAATGTGTCCCGCATGGTATTATTTGACAGGGATGATGGCCCTGGCAGGTGCGCAACCGTTGTTGCAGAAGTTCGAAAAAGTTGCTCGCAAAAGCCCGTTTGACAGAAATGTTTAAAAAAAGTGTTGGGTTTCCTACGAATCCGCAAGAGCGCGCGGGATGAGATTTTGACAATTTGTTGTTGAAAAACCATTGGTTTTTTATGTTTTTATGTTAAAATCGCTGCGAACACTAAGGTTTTGGAAGGATTTCGTCTTGCGCGCGCGAATGTCCACTTTACCTTATTTTTTGCAAGGGATTCTTGAAATTTGATTATATTAGAACAAGAAATGTAATTTTATAGTGTTTTTTGCAAGGGAAAACGGATTACAACAAAACAACCGGATCTGGATCACATCGTTTTACCTGAGGTTTCCTCACGAAAATGATGAAAATGTAGCTGCGGAACGTTCCGGGGCTGCGGCCTCAAGCGCGGCGGGGGGGGGGTCGGCAACCAGGGCGTCGGAACCCAACAATAATTATTCTTTTTTTATTTTTGTCTTTTTTATTAGACTTAATAATGTTCAACAACAACAACAACAACAACGACAGCAACAACACACACCAAGAAACGTTGGAGCTCGCTGGAAAAAATGCGGAGCGCGCCGGGGGCGGCGTTGGAGGCGCCGCCAGGGGGGGGCCCAGCGCAGATCCAAGAGATTCGTGCGGAGCTCCGAGAGTTCATGGTGGTGCAGTTTTTGTTGCGCTTCTATCTGCCCCTGCTTCTTGGAAGGCGCGGGCCTCGTCTACAGATGCAGGGCCCGCGCCTTCTGAGAAGCAGCCTCCTCCTGAGAAGCCCTCCCCCCTCCCTCCGCCCCCCCTTGTGCGCGCCGCCGAACCAGGGGCGACTGGGAAGCAGCCTCCTTCTGAGAAGCCCTCCCCCCTCCCTCCGCCCCCCTTGTGCGCGCCGCCGGACCAGGGGCGACTGGGAAGCAGCCTCCTTCTGAGAAGCCCTCCCCCCTCCCTCCACCCCCCTTGGTGCGCGCCGCCGGACCAGGGGCGACTGGGACCTGGTCTGGAGCGACGCCCCCGACGTGGCCAGGCCCAGCAGCGTCCGGACGGGGCAGCGCATCTGCGAGGACGCTGGCGGCCTCCGCACCAGCACGCCAGGGGGGCCTGGTCTCCGAGGCGTGCGGCGGCGGCGCCCAGGGGCCCTCGGGGGGCCTCGAAGCGGTGTGGTGACCACACCGTGTGGCGAGTCAGAGGAGGAGTCAGAGGAGGAGGAGGAGGAGGAGGAGGAGGAGGAGGAGGAGGAGGAGGAGAGGAGGGAGGGGGAGGGGAGGAGGACAGGAGGAGGGAGGGGGAGGGGGAGAGGAGGGCGAGGGAGGAGAAAGGAGAGCGAGGAGGAGAAAAGGAGGAGGAGGAGGAAGGAGGGAGGAGGAGGGGAGGAGGAGGAGGGAGGGTGGAGGGGGGGAGGAGGAGGAGGAGGAGGAGGAGGAGGAGGAGGAGGAGGAGGAGGAGAGGAGGAGGAGGAGGAGAGGGGGAGGTGAGGAGGAGGAGGAGGAGGATGGAGGAGGAGGAGGAGAGGAGGAGGAGGAGGAGGAGGAGGGGGAGGAGGAGGAGGAGAGGAGGAGGAGATGGAGGAGAGGAGGAGGAGGAGGAGGAGGAGGAGGAGGAGGGGGAGGAGGGAGGGGGAGGGAGGAGGAGGGGAGGAGGAGGAGGAGGAGGAGGAGGAGGGGGAGGAGGAGGAGGAGGAGGAGGTTCCGATCCTGCTGCTCGGTCTCCCGTGTTGTCGCCCCTCGGGGGCCCTCTGGGGGGGGGGGGGCCCGTCGCCAAGGAGGGAGTCGCGTCGAGGTGCTGGTCGGAGTGCACCCTGGGAGAGGTCTGGGAAGCAGCGGCATCGGCAGTGACCACACTTTTTTGATCCGCTGGTCGAAGCTAAGCGGGCCGCGCGAAGCCTGAATTAACCAGAGATGGGGGAGGAAAAGGGGGGCGCAGCCTCAGACCGAGGCCGGGAGGAGGCAAAGCCTCGGGATCAGGCGGTACCGTAGCCGACGTATTTGCAAAGGAGCGCCTTTTCATCGGTGGTGACTCCTCCTCCTCCTCCTCCTCCTCCTCCTCCTCCTCCTCCTCCTCCTCCTCCTCCTCCTCCCAGAGCCCACTTCAGCCCCTCCCATTCGCTTCGACTTCGGATCCCGTGTCGGGTTTCGGTGTCTCGACGGAGGCCCTACTAGCCTGCCGATCGCCGCCGGTTCGGTCTCTCCCGACCTGCTTGCCGATTGGCCGCCGATCCGATGCATTTCCATCGACGATCCGATGTATCCATGAAATTACATTCCAGATTTCGTAATAAAAGGGAGGGGGTCTGGACCCTCCAAGACAAGCCATTTCAGACCTCCCCCGTGGGAGAACCCTCCAACACATCGTCCCCAGACCTCCCAGGCCCTCCAAGATAGCCTGGAAGAGACCCCCCCCGAAATGAGACCCCCCTCCCTTCATTACGAAATCTGGAGTAGACTCTCTTGGCACCACGTGGCGAGTCGCTGGGGATTCGGGGCGGCCGCACGGCTCCGGGGTGTTCTGGGCCGCTCTCTCCAGGCGCTGGCGCCAGGTCCGCGGAGCGAGGCGAGTAGCCCCCGCAACACGAAGACAGCGCTCGCCAGCCTCGAACTCATCCCTATCCCCAAGATCTGACACGCCAAAAGACGATGACAATCTTAGGGATGCGCCCTCAAAAATTAAGGGCATCCCTAAGATTGGCATTGCGACGAGGCGATGCCCAGCTCAGGGATAGGGGTGCGTTGAGGAACAAAAGTGGCATAGACATAAAAACTCGAAGGTCCGCGCGGATTGCTCGGATCGGCGCTGGACCCCCCTCCCTGGCCCGCGGAGCGCGCCAGGGGCGGCGCCGGAGGCGCCGCCAGGGGGCCCCAGCGCCGATCCGAGCAATCCGCGCGGACCTTCGAGTTTTTATGTCTATGCCACTTTTGTTCCTCAACGCACCCCTATCCCTGAGCTGGGCATCGCCTCGTCGCAATGCCAATCTTAGGGATGCCCTTAATTTTTGAGGGCGCATCCCTAAGATTGTCATCGTCTTTTGGCGTGTCAGATCTTGGGGATAGGGATGAGTTCGAGGCTGGTAAAATCCGAGAGTGACTCTTTGTTCCCCTCTTTGTTCCCCTAGGTAGGGATGTGTTCCCCTAGGTAGGGATGTGTGTCCAGGCTGGCAGAGCGCCGCCCGAGCCGGCGACGGAGCGCGCCGGTGCCGTGCGTGAGAGCGGGGCTTCGCCCGAGGCCGCGCCGCGCGCTCCAAGGGCTCCCAGGAGGGCGCGAAGTTATTCGCGCTTCGCGCTTCGCGGTCCTCGTTCCTCCTCCCCCTCCTCGTCCTCCTCTTCTCTCCCTTTGGGAGGGCGGCGCGAGAGCGCGAAGTTATTCGCGCTTCGCGCAGCGCGAAGCGCGAACTTAGGAGCCCTTGACGCTCTTTCGGAACTCTCGAGCAGTGGCGAAGCGTCCCGGCGTGCCTCCATGGGCCCACCAAGCAGTGTTCTAGGAGCCTTTTTGTGGTTTCCACGAAGGGTTCTTGGAACTTGGACGCCCGAAGTGGGTACGGAAAGACTGGGCACAATGCCCAACGGCGGTTCCTGTTCCTTTTGAACAGGGCTCGCTGTCCGCGCCGCCGCGGCCTGTGTCCATTTGAGACAGAAGGCCGCCTGCCCAACAGCGGCCGCTGTCGGTTTGGGACGACATTTGTTGTTGGGCATTGTACCCATTTTTTCCTGTACCCATTTCGGGCGTCCAAATAGAACATGTCTGGATGAGACGGTCTTGTTTTGACACATCGGGCGAATGTTCTAAGAACACTGCTTTTGTAATTAGGGCATGTTTGGGTTCTAAAAACATTCCGTGGTAGGACTTTAGGAATGCCAGGACGGTCGATCCCTGCTCAAGGAGCGTTCTGACCCCTGAGCCGCCCGCCCCTTCCCTACTTTCCTTCGGCCGCGCCCCTGCTCCTCCTCTTGCATGGTGGCATACAGGCGGCCCGGATTGGTAGGTCGACCCTGCCAGATCAAGGGTACCCTCGTGCCCCGTGCCTTGCGACCCATGCCTCCTGCATTCCTGTGGCAACGTGGCCCCCGGAAGGGTTTTGTGTCCTCTCTCGTGTCCTCTCCAATCCATCGGGGATGGACAGACCTCCTACCCTGACACGTTGATTAGTGAATTGCTCGTTTTCGGTTCTCGAGAGGGCGCCGCGGCCGTCATTTTCCAGGCTTGCGCCCGCCAGGGTTGGGCCCGAGGTCGTCTTCACTGCACCACGTTTCACTGAAGGGAGGTCCGTCCATCCCCGAATCAAGTCCGACTGCAACTCGCGCCGGCGGTACCCCCCGCTGCTGCCTCTGATCGCCAGCGCAGTCGCTTCTGCCCAGCCGCCGGCGCAAAGATCGGCGGCGAGCGAGGGGGCGAATTGAGAAGGAGAAGGCCTTCTCAGAAGGCGGAGCCCTCTGAGAAGGTACGCCCCCTCACACCTCCACCCCCTGGCTCGCCGCCTGAAAGAGCGTGCGGGGGTGCCTCGGGCGGCCCCGGGGGCGCCAGACGGGGTCTCTGGGGGCCATTGCGGGGCCACCGCGCGGGCCAGGTCGGGGACGTGCAGGATCGGTGCGGTCGGCAGGGGTTCGGGGGCGGCTAAGAGGGGGGGGCGATGACTAGGTAGGGGTGGATATCGTGGCATGGGCCATGGTGTTTCCCCAGATGTCATGGCGCCTCTTCTTGGTTTGATACGGCCCTGGCCCCCCCGCCGGGCCGCGCACATGCCGCCGGTCATGATTTGCACCCCCCCCTCTAGGACACCCCACTCTTGGCCGCTCCCGATGGGTGCGGAAAGGATGGGGACGAGTCTGCAGTTGTCGGACGGACATTGTCATCCGAGGTGGATGAGCCTCCTACCCTGCCACGTCGATGGAGGAATTGGCCGTTCTCGGTTCGCGAGAGGGCGTCGCGGCCGTCATCTCTGCGGGTCCAGGCCCGTCGGTTTCGGCCCCAGGCCGTTTTCACGAAGGGGAGATTTACAAAAGGGAGGTTTGTCCACCGCCGGTTTCAGACGAGGTACGAGGTTTTCATGCGTTGTCGCCGATTCCCGGAGTGTTCCAGCCCCCGAAGGCTTTCCAGCGGTTGCGCATCGCCGACAACGTTCTGAGGGTGTTTGGACCGTCCCGAACGGCCGCCATAAGTCCGAGTCGTGGCTTGGAAACCTCCATTCCTCTTCTTTATCAAGTGATTCCTGTCGCGGGCAGGGCGTCCCGCTTGAGATTTTCTGACCGTGTACGATCTCGAAGCTTGAAGGTTCAAACAGTTTCAAGAGACGAGGGAGGGTCGCCTTCGAAATGTGGTTTTCGCCCTAGCCCGTCGCTGTACGCATCGGGGGGCTCCCCTGGCGGTCACGAACCTGGTCGAAGTGCCCCTACCGTGGGGCACCGTGGAGCTAGGAGTGGAGACGACCGCGGTGGTGGAGTCGCCCAAGCAGGTGAAGCTGCTAATTCGGGGCATAGATGCAAAACCGAGCGCGTCGTGGCCTCCCTTCGTGCCGTTCCTGAACGTGTTCGAGCACCAGGCTTACGCCACCCGCTGAATCCCATCGACGGGCGGTTGCAAGTATACGGCAACGGTAACCGCATTGCGCACGTACCCAAGGGTCGTTGAAAGTAGGTGTTTTTGGGGCTCCTAGATCCCAATCTATGTTAAGCGCTTTCCTACTTGAATGATCGAGGTGCTTCAACGTGTCCGTCCTCTTAGGGGGCGGGCGGACACCCAATCTACTTTGAACGCCTTCCTGCTTCATGGTTCTGTCTACTTCTTCCGACCGATGGGCAAACGGCAACGACAATCGCACTGCGCACATATTGGTGACCACCACGCTTGCCATAGCGTTTCCGTCTGGCGACGACGCCAGCGCCGCCGGGGCTTCCGATAGTTGTGGTGCCTTGTCAGGGGGCGGGGCGTAATGTAAGTTTTGCATTGGTTGCACGATTCCCAAAACATTGCTTGCATTTAGCAGGGGTGGACCTAAGCGGTGTTTTTGGCGATTTCGTGGGCTGTGTTCGTTTCGATGTCGTTCTGCGTTAAACGAGGGATAATTAACGAAAACGAAACGAAGACGAAAAACACCGTTTAGGGTTCAGCCCTGGCATTTCGGGGTGCGCGCTTGCTTTCTTAGGCACGCGGAAGGGTTCGCCCCCGGGTCGCCGCCCGCGGGCGCCTCTCTTTGACAGCCCGCACGGTGGCCGGAGTTGCGGGGCGTCCCGCTGTCGCCGCCCGTGGATGCGCACCATCGAGTTTTGCATGACACCTGCGGCGATGCTTAAGAAAACTTGAGTTTTCGGCCAGAGTCTCGATTATTCTTAACGTTTCAATGTAAACCCTAAGTTTTTAATAGAAATGTTGGGTTTTTATTCAAGATCTGAGACTATGAGTTTCTTAATCCATGATTTCTTAAGCATTTCGCAGGGTGTACGCGCAGGCGACACGCACAGTCAGGGCGGGCAACGTTCTCAGGGGCGCTCCTGCATCAGGGCTGCACCCAAACGGTGTGTCTGGCGATTTCCTGGGCCGTTTTCGTTTCGACTCCGTTCTGCGGTGAAGGCGAAAGCGAGACAGAAGCGAGGGGAAGCGAAAACCAAACGAGAACGAAAAACAACGTTTAGGTTCAGCCCTGTCCTGCATCCTTGCCTCCTTGGTCCCTCCATGGCCGCTTTCGCTGGCCGCGCCCTGCCCGCAGAGTGCCGGCATGGCCTTCCAAGGCCCTTGCATCCTTATCGGGCGTCCTTAGTACATTGGCTAGCTGTAGCTTACACCACATGGCTTGCACAGCATGTTTTGGACCGCGTGGCTTGCACCACATAGATTGAGCCACATTTATGTCAGCACGTTTAGCCACGTAGCTTATATCACAGCTGGCACCACATATATTACAACGCATACGTTGCAACACATAGCGTCAACACCCAGAGTGCAAGAATGCATCGTTTGGGGGTGACGCTGACATGCAAAGCATTTATTCGTGTGTGGCTTTGTTTGGGGGGCGACGCAAGGATGAAGGCTTCCGATCGGAGTTATGGGACGCGCGTTTGCTCTGTTTCCCGTCGTTTGGTTGCGTGGTCGGTTCTGGCAGTGGTCAGAGAAAGGTTCACCCAAGAGTCCGTTTGCGTTGAAAGCCATGGTGAAGGTTAGATGGGGGACATCAACATTCAGACTGGAGTCTGACCCTGCAAATGGGCAGCTGGTTATGTCTGCATTCGATTCAGTGGGAAAGCCTGGTGGGACGGTATCGAGGACCAATATGGCGGTGTCAGTGCTTTCTCCATCCCGCATGCAGAAATTCTTTCCCAGAGATGCGCCATCGCATGCTGGAGACTGCTGCATAAGATTCACAGGGAGAGCCAAGAGGGACGATATCGAGGACCAATGTGCCAGAGTCAGTGCTTTCTCCGGCCCGCATGCAGACATGCTTTCCCGCGAGAGTCACTCTCGCATTTTACCAGCCTCGAACTGATCCCTATCCCTAAGATTGACACGCCAAAAGGCGATGGCAATCTTAGGGATGCGCCCTCAAAAATTTGGGGAATCCCTAAGATTGGCATCGTGATTAGGAGATGCCCAGCATAGGGACAGGGATAGGTCCCAGGCTGGTAAGCATTCCTGGGATCCTTCGTCGGAGCGTCGTGTGTGTCTGCCTGTCGGTTCGGGTCTTCGCCCCCGGTACCAGTCCGCTGCGCACCTGCTCCTGCACATCCACTTCGGCACCGCCTGCACCCCTGGGCTTCGCCCACTCCGGCCGCCTGAGGCCCCGCCTTCCTGTGCCCTGTCTCCCTAATTAAAGCCCGCCTAGCTTTTAGCGAAAGAGGTTCGCTCTCGCCCCGCAGATCAAAAAAGTGTCTGCCTGTCGGTCTGCGCCAGAAGTCCGAGCGGCACCAAAACTTATGTGCGCAGTGGGGGCGCCCAGGACGGAGCGTGCCGAGCAGCACGGCCTCGGCAGGGCCCGCTCGACCGCGCTTGCACTTGCCGAGGAGGCGCAGGACGTTGAGCAGCGGGGTCGGGGTTCTTCAGGAGGGAAAAAAAAACAGACACAATTAATCGTCGATTCCACAGGAAATATGGGACAATATGGGAAGTGGGGGGGAAGACAAAGACCCAGAAAATATGGGTAAATATGGGGATTCCTATTATTTGTGTGTATTTATTTGTGTGTCCCAGGGCCCCATTCAGTTCTGCACGAACGGAATGGGCACGGAACGAATGGGTACAATGCCCAACAGCAGTTCCTGTTCATGTTGAACAGGACTCGCTGTCCACGCCGCCGCGGCCTGTGTCCAGTCGAGACAGGAGGCCTGCCCAACAGCGGCCGCTGTGGGTTTGGGAGACAGCATGTATTGGGAGGGCATTGTACCCATTCTCTTTCCGTACCCATCTCGGGCGTCCCAAGGGGTGACCCGGGGGCCGCTTGGCTGCTGTCGAAAGGGAGCAGTGGCACGACGTAGCTTAAGCACCGGGGCGCCCACGAGCGTGGGCCCGCGGGCCTCTTCCCCAAGAGCAGCCCCGGATCTCGGAGGAGGAAAAGGTACCCATACCGCTACCCCTCGCCCGTTTTCACCCGTCTTCGGCCTCCTGGGAGGCCCTCGTCGCCACCGCTGGACTCGCCCCGAAGCCCTGCTCAGAACGCACCCCGGGAGAGGTCCGGGGAGTAGCGGTATCGGTCCCTTTTTGGCTTCCCCAGGATCGCCCTTCGGCTCGTTCGAGGTGCTGTACCTCGACCCGGACCTGCGGATCACTCGGACGAATTCGGGCTATCCGGCAGGCCTTGCGGCGCCTCGCGGCCCAGGGCACCTCCGCCAGGCCGGCTCGCTCGCGTCTGCAAGCGTGTGTCTTGGCACAGCCCACACGCCGAGTCGACGGTTGAGCCAAGGACTCCGCTTGGTGCTCGGGAGGGGCTCTGGTTCTTGGGCCGTTCCTCGCCGAGCACGTTCCACGACTGGCAAAGTTCAGAACAGGGACAAAAACATAAACACAAAGGGTTTTATTGGTTTTACGCCGGAAGGGGGCGTCGTTGAGAGGGTGCCTGGCACGGATGCGGGGATCGGGGTGGCGTCGGTGTTTGGAGCTGGCGGCTTTCTGGATCCTGAGAGTGCCTACCCGCAAACGTCCGAAACACCATACGTCTGCCTTTGCGTAATATGTCGTTCCTCCCCCGCGGCGGGTCCAGGCCATTTGCGAGTAGTTACAGTCAACGCGCCTAGTAAGGACGCGCGCCTTCATCTAGGGTACCCTTGTGTCCTTGCCTCTGAGGCCCGTCCTTGCCATTATCACTGGTCGCCCGCCGCCCTAAAAAACCCAACTTCGGCATCCAAGGGTCTTGCGTCCTTATCACCCGTCCTTACTATGCGTTTTGACTGTACTTTGCGAGTCGTGGAACGCGCTCGTCCAGTTCCTCAGACGTGGGCCGGGGTAGCCGACTCGTGGCCGGGGCCTGCCGGGGCCAGAAGAGCCCCTTCAAGTTGGTGTTTGTAGCCCTGAGTCGGGCATATCCCTCTGCGGGAGGTGTATTCAGAAATAGTCCAAGAATTATTAGACTGGGGACAACTGTTCGACCATGGTGACCATATTTGATCATTTTCTGATTATTTAAATTGTTTTCTTCGGAAATCCTTCTGTAGGTGGACATACCCGACCTATCTGTAGCCTGGGTCTCCCGATCACCCCCAGGGTCGCGAAGATGATCGCGCTTCACGCGTCGCGGCCTGGGATGGAGGGCGTCCTTCTCCAGGGCAGCCTCGCGAGGGCGCGAAGTTGGGTGCCCTACAGCCGAGTTTCGTTAGTAGGTCGACCACGCCAAACTAAAGGTACATTCCCTTGTGCCCTGTGCTTCGCGACTCATGCCTTCTGCATTCCTATGGCCATGTGCCCCTCGGAAGGGTCGCGTGTCCTCTCCAATCAAGCTCGACTGTAGATCGCGTAGGCTTCGATGCTCAGAATCTGCACGGATCGATCCGGTTTGAAAAATGCTACAGAACGATGGGTCCATGGTGTTGGTCGCGATGTTTCACTACTACGTTGCAATTGTTTCGCGTCGTCGGCTTTCAGGATCAGAGCCGGGGCGCGTTCACAGTGTGGATTTTTGGGGTTCGATCCCACGGGGTACGCGGTCGCACGAATACGTTCCACGCTTAAGTCGGGTTGGTCCCTCTACAGGAGGAATATTTGAAAATAGTCAAAAATAAGCTTGGGACGAGCTGGTCTACTATGTTTGACTATTTTTGAATATTGAGTATTTTTATTTTCTCGTTCAAAATCCCCCTGTAGGGGGACAGGCCCGACCTAACGGTACGCGGTCGAACGAACACGTTCCGCGCGGGGCGTCCGCAAAAAAGCGCCCGAACATCCGCGGCATTGTGGCCCAGGGGCCCAGCCCTCGAAACCGCGGCTATGCGGACATGTCTTTCGCCCACCGTCGGCGTCGGAATTGTCACCGAGATAGATGCACATCTATAGAGAGAGATGTACATACAGGTGTATATATATATACAGACATACATACATACATACATACATACATACATACATACGTACATACATACATACATATACATACATATACATACATACATACATACATACATACATACATACACGAATACGTACATACATACATCCATCCATACATACATAATAACTACATACATGCATACATGCACTTCTATACATACACATCGGGGGGGTGGGGGGGGGCAAAACTGTCCCCTTTTTGTGGCATTGGAGGCGCAATGGACCTTCGCCCGCCAAAGGGGCCCTCAAGGGGAAGGGACCCTCCAGAGAGCCAGCAAGCACCACAGCTCTCCAGGCACGCCGACCACCGCTTCGAGGCGGCTCACGTGCCCTCCCAGACTCCCCAAGAGAGGAGCTTGCAGCTGGTCCCCGAGAGGATTTGGACACATACTAGAGCTTGACGGTCCTCCTGGGAACGGTGCGTCCCCGTCCGCCCCGGTACGTCCCCCATGGTCTTGGTGCGTCCCAGTGCGTCCTCGACCGTCCCGGTGCGTCCCAGTGAACTTTTGTCCGTCCCAGTACGTCCGGTTGCGTCCCGGTGCGTCCTGATGGTGTGTCCCGTCCCCGTCCGTCGGGTCCCATTGCGTCCCAGTGATTTCTGGTGCGTCCCGGTGCAGCCTGGTGCGTTTTGGTGCGTCACCACATAGGTTGCATTGTTTTGCATTTTGTTGCGTTGCTTGGTCTTGTTTGACATTTCTTAATTTGCATTGCCTTGTGTTGCCTTCATTCGCATTGCTCTGCATTGCATCAGCTTGCATTGCGTTGCCTTGCCTTGCGTTGAATTGGATTGCATTGCAATGCTTTGCGTTGCGTTGTGTTGCTTTGCGCCACATACGCTGCACCACATAGATTGCACAACATATATCGCAACACATTGATTCTCCTTTCTAAAAAGAGAATAAATAGACTCTACCCCCCCCGGACTTATCGGCCCTCCCTGGGATAGTATGATTGCATATAGTTTCTGCAAACTCGTCCATCCGAAATATGAAATCATACAATCCCAGCTAGGCTGGGTTCCCCCCCCTGAGGTTCCCTTGTAAAAAACACTATGCGGTGACATTTGTTGTTCTAACATAACACTTTTTCACGAATCCCTTGCAAAAAATGAGACGAAGTGCACACGCGCGCGTCGTCCCGCGCGCATGCCGAAATCCTTCAAAAACCTAAGGTGCCGGAAGGATTTCGCAATCGAGTTCCCCAAAAACATACAAAAACATATGGTTTCGCAATTCTGATTTGCTAAAAAAGCTTCCGCGTGAGCTCTTGCGAAATCTTAAGAAAACCATAGGTGTTTCAAGATTTTCATAAAATGCTACCAAACGGGCTTCGCGCGCGCGCATGTCGAAATCTGTCGAACGCCCTTGCGCGTGTGCCGTCGCGAGAATCCTCTGCACAAAATGGGGCGAAGTGCAGACGCGCGCGTCGTCGCGGGCGTATGCCGAAAACTTTCAAAACCCATCGGTTTCGGAAGGATTTCAAAATCGTGCGTCCAAAAAACCTACAAAAACCAGGGTTTCGCAACACGGATTTTCAACAAAAGCGTTCGCGCGCGCTCTTGCGTCGTCGTCGTCGTCGCCGTCCTCCCTCCTCCCGCGTCGTCGTCGTCGTCGTCGCCTACGTCGTCCTCTGTCTTTCCTCGTGTTCGTCGTCGTCGTCCTCTTTGGCGTCGTGGTCGTTTCCGTCGTCGTTGTCGCCGTGGTCGTCCTTCCTCCTCCTCCCTCGTCGTCGTCGTCCGTCGTCGGCGTCTCGTCGTCGTCCCTCCCATTTCGTCGCCGTCGTCGTCGTCGTTGTCGTCGTCGTCTTCCCTCCTCCCTCGTCGTTGTCGTCGTCGGCGTCGCCGTCCTTCCTCCTTCGTCGTCGTTCGCGTCGTCGCCGTCCTCCCTCCTCCCTCGTCGTTGTCGTCGTTGTCGTCGTTGTCGCCGTCTTCGTCCTTCCTCCTCCCTCGTCGTCGCCTTCGTTGGCGTCGTCGCCGTCGTCTTCGTCGTCGTCGGCATCGTCGTCGTCGAAGTCGTCGGAGAGGTCTTCGGTGTCGTCCTAGTCGTTGTCGTCGGTGTCATCGTAGTCGGTCTTGAGAGGTTTTGCAAACCAAGTTGCGGGTGGGTGGGTGGGATGTTTGCACGAGCAGTGGAGAGGACAGCTTCAAGACGGTCAAAGTGGATTGCACACCATAGATCGCACCGCATAGATCGCACCACATAGATCGCACAACACAGATTGCACCACATAGGCAGCACCAAATCGAACGCACCACATAGACTCAAGAGGCTGAACGCCACTCCGCCGACCCCCCGACGAGGCGGGGAGTCCACGGGCGAGGCGTCATCTGGGCTTCTCAGGCGCTACTTTTGGGGGCTCCTGTGGGCGTCTTGGGAGCTGCTTGGGGGCCTGGTGGAGCCTCATGGATCAAGTGTTGTACAGTCAAAAACCCTAATAAGGACGCGCGACTTTGCTCAGGGTACCCGTGCGTGCGTCCTTGCTCGTCCTTGCTCTTGCGTCCTTGAGGTTTTCGTCGTCCGCCGCCCCAAAAATCCCAACTTCGACTTCCAAGGGTCTTGCGTTCTTACCGCGCGTCCTTATTAGGGCTGTTGACTGTAACGTCTTAGGGGCCTCTTGGGGACCTCCTCTGGGCCTCCTGGGGATTGCTGGGGGCGTCGTTTGGGCCGCTCGGGGGGCTTCTTGGGGCCTTTAGGGGGCTTCTTGGGGCGGAGAGATGGGATGTTCGGATGTGTTTTCCTTCTTTGCCTCTCTTGGGGCCTCCTGGGGCCGCTCTTTGGGCCGCCTTGGAACCCTCTTAGGCCGTCCAGGGGCCCTCGTGTGGGCGCATTGAGCGGTTTGGGGGCGGCCTGCGGGGCCTCTTGGGCCGTCTTGGAGCGTCGGAAGCTCGAGAAGAAAATAACCCTAGACACGCCGAGCAACCCTAAGGAAAGCCAGTGACGTGTGCCTCTCGGGGTCCAGGTTGGGCAGACCTGTGGGGCGTCTCGAAGGCGTCTTGGAGCCATCGTAGGCGTAGACTGCACCGTATTGATTGCACCACATCTATGTGTACATCTACATGTTGCATCGCATATGGTGCGCAACATACATCGCACAATCTACATTATACATATATATATGTGTATATATATGTATGTATATGCCACTACGTAGTTTGCATCGTACAGATTGCACAGCATAGATCGCACAACATTTGTTGCACAGCATAGCTTGCAAACTTCTTGTCGAACCACATAGACTGCACCACATACAATTGCCCCACACAGATCGCACATCACATATTGCTAACATATGTCCTTTCTCTCTGTCCCAGCTTGGAGGAGAAGTAGGAGGAGGAGGAGAAGGTAGTCCTCATTCGCCATGCCACCTCGGACAAGCCCTGGGGCAGCGGACTTCACCGTGAATCGCCGAGTCGCGTGAAGACAGAAAAAGCGCGGCCCTCCCGCTGGCCTCGCGTCCATCTCCTTCCACACCCTCTGATGGCGTTGGTGCTGTTGGGCAGAGGTCGCCGTCGCTGCCGCCCTTTCTCTGCCCGCACAGCTGGCGGTGGAGTCACAGCAGGCACATCGAACAAGAGGCAGGCCCGCCGGCAAAGGCGCCCCACGGAGACGACTTCTTGCCCGCTGATGGCCCCGGGGACCCGCAGAAGCTCTGGGGCACCCGCCTGTGCCCTCAGAGGTTCGACGGAGAGTGTGTCCTTGCATGACGTCTAGGAACATTCAAAAATAGTCAAAACATAGTCAGGCGTGTCCCTCTACAGGGGGAACATTCAAAATAGTCAAAAAGTAGTCTGGGGAGGATTTTGTAGTATTGTTGAGCATGTTTCGAGTACGTTCTGACTATTGGTGATTTTTCGTCCAAAATGCCGGTGTAGGGGGACATGCCGGACCAAAGTCTAGCAAGAGGTCTGATCGTCGGAGGTCGGGGGGGTGAGATGGCAGTGAGACGGAGGGCCCCCCACCGGGAAATTGGTCTCGGCTTGGTGCCGCGCATGTGGGCGAGGCGAAGTTGCGCGGGCGGGCGACAGGAAGGGTCCCGCCCCGGCTGGAGCGAAACTGGGCTCAATGTCTCTCCTCCCCCTGTTGGCTTGCGGTGGCCTGGGGGTGCCGATGTCCCATGGTGCTCCGTGGTGTCCCGTGGTGTCCCGTGGCGCGGTATCCCGCGGTGTCCCGTAGTTTCCCGTTGAGGTCGATCGTGAGATCGATAGTGAGATCGATTGTGAAATCGATTGAGTGAGATCGATCGTGAGATCGATAGACAAATCGATAGTGAGGTAGATTGTGAGATCGATAGATCGTGAGACCGATAGTTGAAGGGAGACCGATAGAGCGTTTGGTACATAGGTAATTTCGATAGACGGATGCTGGGGCCCGTGGATATCGAGTTCTGTGGATACCCAGGCCTCTCGATCGTAAGACCGCTAGTGACATCGCAAGTGGGATCTAGTGGTCGCGAGGGCGGTGGGTAGTGACATCGAGTATGAGGTGGGGGTGAAACCGATTGATAGTGAGACTGCGCCACAAGGGTCGCTCGCTGCTGCTCGAAAATGTCTTGGACCATCTTGCGCGCCACATGGGGTCGCGGGTAAATAAGTGCCACTTCCAGCAATGGAGGTGGAAGGTATTTGCCTGCGACCACGGTGGTGACGCAATCACAGGTGTGAGTGCACCATCACGGGTGTGTCGTGCCGCTAGCCTTGCCAGCCAAAGTTGCTTGATGCATTGCTGCTGTTGCGCGCTGCCCGTTTGCGATGCCCCGCTCGTCACCAGCATCGCCGCCACGCATCGCCAGTACCACATGCATTGTCACTAGCATCGCCGCCATGCATCGCCATGACGCACTGTCACCAGAATCGTCGTCGCGCGTCGTCGCCATCTCGTCGACACCAGCGTCGTCACCACCGCAGCCACAGCAGTCGTCATCAGTTGCCCCCTCCGCCCCACCACCTCCTTGTCACCCGAGGGGCTGCCGTCATGTATACGTACTCGGGGAGGCTGGAAAGACGTGCGGGCTGGGCCCGGTTGTGCTGCATGCTTTCTGGGCTTCTGGCAGTACTTCTGCCCTCGGGCCGCGCCAACTCTGAAAAAGGTTAGTGCGCGGCCCTGGGGCTGATGATCGTCAGATCGTTGCTTCCTGTGGTCGGGGCATGGGGCCCCTCCTCCTCCTCCTCTTCCTCCTCCTCCTCCTCCTGCTCCTGCTCCTCCTCCTCCTCCGCCTCCTCCTCCTCCTCCTCATCCTCCTCCTCCTCCTCCTCCCCCTCCCCCTCCCCCTCCTCCTCCGCCTCCCCCCAGGGACGGCGAGGTCTCGCTCAGGCCCCCGCGGTGCCGCAGTCCGCTGGACCCACGAGCAGTCCTCGAAAGAGGCGACAGTGTCGCAGATCGCAGCCCCCCCCCCCCTCCCAGGGACGGCGAGGTTTCGTTCAGGTCCCAGCGGTGCCTCGCTCCGTTGGACCCACCAGCAGGCCTCGAAAGTGGCGACTGTGTCGCAGATCGCAGCTCCCCAGGGACGGCGAGGTTTCGCTCAGGTCCCCGCGGTGCCTCAGTCCGCAGGACCCACCAGCAGCCCTCGAAAATGGCGACAATGTACCAGATCGCAGCCCCCCCAGGGACGGCCTTCCCAGCAGCCCTCGAAAGTAGCGACAGTTTCGCAGATCGCAGCCCCCCAGAGATGGCGAGGTCTGCACAAAGCAAGAGGAGACAAGAGGGGAGCGGGAGGCGGGAGGAGGAGGAGGAGGGGGAGGAGGAGGGGATTGGAGACCGCAGTGCTCTATCCAAAACGAATACCCAACCAAGGAGGGTGAGTGTTGGGAATCATCTGGGGACGAATGTTCGACTACGTTTGAGTAGTTTTCGAACATGCTTTGACTATGTTTAAGATCTCATCCAAAATCCGCCTGTAGAGGGACACGCCCGATTGAAAAGTCAATCAGGAGGAGAAAAAGCACACAGACACAATTAATCGTCGACCTCCAGGAGAATATGGAAACATATGGGAATTGGTCGGGGAAGACAACCCCCCCCCAAAAAAAAATATGAAGATATAGGGAATAGTTTTACTTGTGTGTATCTATTTGTGTGTCCTGGGGCCCCTTCACTAAGTCCAGGAGCAGATTGGATCCTCTTGCGGGAAGAATGAGGAGGAGGAGGAGGAGGAGGAGGAGGAGGAGGAGGAGGAGGAGGAGGGGTAGGAGGAGGAGGAGGAGGAGGAGGAGGAGGAGGAGGAGGAGGAGGAGGATGTCGGAGTCGCCGGTCCGCTTTTTTATCAAAGGTCGCCTGCCCATCAGCGGCCGCCGTCGGTTTGGGACTGCATCTGCTGTTTTGGGCCCCCCCTTGCAGTTTGTCCGTGCTCATTTCGGGCGTGCCCATTTTGGAATAACCCGTGGATGTTGGCAAGAGACGTCCCAAGAGGGGGGGAATGTGAAGGTGGCGGGGACCGATGGTTTGGGATGAGAATTGGGGTGGCAGCCGAGCG